CAAGAGCAGAGAAGAAAAGAGTGGGAGCTTTACCTCCCAGTCTTCTGGTGCCCCCTTTATATCTGGGTGGTACCCACCAGCCGCTGTGTCCCTCCTGTGACAATCGCACATAGGCATACTCGCTGTGGGACCAGCGTGGGTAGGTAGAGGAGAATGGGGTTCATTGTATGTAAAATGAGGATGCTAAAGAAAAGCTGAGAGAGCTGTGAGAAAGGACTGACCAGGGGAAATGGTTAGCAGAGCAAAGAATGAGACCGTGACCACTCTCATGACGCACTCTGGTTAACGGGGCTCAGGAAATCCTGGGTATGAAGTAAAAGAGCATAGTAATATATTCAGCCTACTAAATACTTCATTATTGCAAAAAGGGATTTAGGAACGAGGATACACTACCTCACTGAGTTCATAGGTATAGAGGTAGTTGTAAATATATACAGACACACATATATTCTTTCTGATAACCTAGAATATTTTCCCCTAAATTTCTCTTAAGAGTAAGATGGGCACAGGATACATCACACCTGACAGCCTAGATTCTGTAATTAAAATATCTCACCAACTCATCCTAAGATTAATTTAATTAAACTTACTCATTTGGATCAAGGCTATATATTCAGAAGACACCTGCTCAAATCCAGCTATGTGCTTAAAAGGATTATTAGGAGAGAGGAAATACAAAATACGATAGGTCACTCTCTTTGTGGGGCAAGGGAAAAAGGAATAAGGAGAGGAGTGTGGAGAATTTACCAATGTCTGTGCTAGATGTGCCCTTTTGGAAGTTGTCTTAGATACTTTGTGGAACGAGGTATGTTACAAGAAAATACTTGCTGTCAAATACTATCCATCCTTGGGCAGGAGCCATGCTAATCTTCTCTGTATCACTCCCATTTTAGTATATGTGCTGCTGAAGCAAGTACTCAAATAGTATGCATCCCTAACACAGATACAGAAAATCTAGAAAGACCTTTTGGGAGTCAGTTGGAACAAAGGTTCAAAGAAGTGGATTCACAGTTGGAGAAAAGAGGATGAGGAAGGGACAATTGCATTGTATCATAACATTCTGATTCAGGGAAGGAAACCTGGTTTTTTCCAGTCCATGGTATTCTAGTTCCATGTGGATTTTTAACAATACTAGCTAGTCCTGATCTTACCAAATAAACATAAAACATCTGCTAATAAAATAGTTATCTCCAGCACCACTAACCCTTCCCCCCTCCCAAAAAAGAAAAAAAGAGAAGGAAGGGAAAGAACTTAGTTTTTCATGATCAGTCTTACTTGGATGAATCTCTTCTCTGTGGAAGATGTTATAACTTGCCATGTAAACGATGCAAATATCCCTTGTTTACTTCATGAAGTGTCACAGCTGAAAAAGCAGGAACTGTGTTTTGAACCCACCAATCTACAGCTGGAATCCTCCCAATAACGTTTTAGAATTTGTGGTCTACTTTCCATACATGTGGGAAAATGAATCTTATACCCTGTTAAAATTCAACAGGAAATTGAAAGCGCCATGCCTTGTGGCATACTGCATGTTTCATTCGACTAGTCATTTCAAAGTGCTTTTCATCTTTAATTTCCTTGAGAGTGTGCATAGTGAGGTAAAGTTGGTAATTACCCAGACAGACTTTAGGTGTTAAATATTATTCAAACAAACCCAGTAAATGGCATCTACAATAAAGAGTAGGGAAACAAAGAGATTACAGTGTTTCATTCCAACCCGACACCCTCAGGAGAACAGAGAGCACAAGGCAAACCCCTAAGTATTTATATACTCCCTGAGCTGTACTGAGAAAGTTCACAGAAAGCAGTTAAAGACACAGCAACTAAACCCAGCATTTAACTGGATATCTTTGGAATCTTGCTGTTTTGTGCAATTAACGGCCAGATGGAAAATATATCATTATTAGTCAATCTTGATTTTTAATAGTTTGGTTTTTGAGGCCACTCTTCTAATGCATGTGCCTCGGAGAAATCTCACAAAAACAGTTTTCCTGTAGGAACTGTATGGCTCAGCTGGTTGATCCCGGTGGTGCAGACACTGTTCACCGCCATGGAAGCACATAGAGTCCCTGCTGTATCATGCCCCCCCCCCCCCGCCCAGGGACCATTTGAGGTGGGGAGGAACTCAAAGAGAGGCTCTCTGCTATTGTTAAAATGGAGGCAAAGAATGTTGTAACACAGATGCAGCAGCCCAGTCCTCGTGTAGGATTTAACAGATAAACGACCCGGTGCTGCTTGGTACCCTCAAAAGAACGTGAGCCAGACAGGCTGTCAGCAGCTGCAGTGGGGAACCTGGTGCCCTAAAACCATCCACCAAGAGTTGCTTCCCCAAGTGTCATTTTATCCCCTCCATGCTGCCGTCCGGAAGCTAGCTCAGCTCCTATACCACCTGGGAGCTTACGGACATCATCCGGTTAGAGGTCATGCTTTCCCTCCTCGCGTTTCAGTTACACTGTTTACCCATCTCTGCTGGCCCTTAAAACGTTCTGCATGTCAGGACCAGTAGTATACATGTCTGTCTTTCCCACTAGTTTGTGTGTTCCTGGAAGGAAAGAAAGGAAAGGTCGAAGATTCATATTGTCTCTTTCCCACATTAGGGGCTCAATAATAACAAAATGACATTTACTGACTGAGTGCTGATATGTTGGGCACATGACTTATTTAATGCTTACAACTGTGTACCCCTAATGGTAAAGAACATGAGCTTTGGAGCCAGACCACCTGTGTTCAAAGCGTCCTTCCCGTGCTGTCAACCAAACACCCTTGAAACAGGTGGGATTTTAACGCAGGTCTCATTTACATCCTCAACTCTGTTCTACCTCAGTAGGTATCTTTTAATTGAATTAGACCCACTGGCCAATAACCAAACTCATTATTACTCCTTAGCACTAAACAATCCTAAGGCTACCCCACTAACTTGTGACTTAAATGTACATAGGTTTTTAGACCTATGTAATGGATAGTGATTTAGCTAATCATATCAATAATACTAATTCTTTACATTTCTTTAGTATTTTGCTGTTTTCACAGTCCCTTCACATAAATCATCTCAACTGGTCTTCACTGATCCTTGTGAGATGGACAGGATGGATGGCTGTCATTTTCCCCCTTCGAGTGATGAGTATGCTAAAGCTAGAGAAGCTCAAGGCTTGACCATTGCCCTATAGCCAGAGATTGTCAGGGCTACAATTGAACTAAGATCTTCTAAATCCATGCACAGGGTTCTTGCCTCTACCTTGCCGTGTCCCTCAGCACCACTTACATGCGTACGCATATACTCACTTGAGGGCTCCAAGAACCAGGTGCCGTGCCAGAGCCTTCACTGGCTCAGATAGTCTGGTAACCATAGCAATTGTCGCTCTCCTCATGGCAAATGAGATCACCCAGCATGCACTGGCTCTCAAGATTTGAGTTAGAAGAGATGAGGCATTTCCCACAGAGGGCCATTAAGTTTGGAATTCCCTTCCCCTGGTCTGACATAGCCCTGGAGTATTGGTCTTCTGGGTCTTTGCAAACCACATCAAGTTGAGTTAGCCAGCTGTGATTGGTAAGAAATCCTAATGGGCAGGAAGAAAGTGCTAAATTGACTTTTAGTTGTGAGCAATTTGTAATTTTGTGTTTTTTGCTGTTTGTATCCCTTAGGATAACTAACGAGCCATACATAATTTTCATTCTTTAGAAATACGATTTTAGTCAGCAGTTTGCATGATTTTGTTTCTGTGTTCTTACATCATGTCGCACATGATGTGATGGAGAAACCTATGGGGAAGTTTTTGTTCCTTTTGCATAAACTATTTTGCAGTAATTGACCAGCCATAGAGAAAAGATTATCTCCTGTGCATGCTCAGTGAGTTCTCTGGTCACCAGAGACCAATAAGCTGTGTCCCTAGAACTATTATCACTTTGTTGAAGGAGCTGCTATGTGAACAAAAACCAGCCTTCGTTGATTTCCCTTTTCGTATTTAAAAAACCTTGTCAGTATTTCCCCTTTGGGAGTATATAATTTGTCAATAGTGCATATTATTTTAGTTCTAAAGAGGAAAGATGCATGGCAGTAAATTCCTACTAATTTCTTATCTTAGTGCCAGATCTTAATGTTTCCACTCAATGAAATATAATTCCCCACATGTTTAATCATATTATGGTATACATGTCTTAAATTTAACTTCAGAGAAATATAAAATTGTAGAAATGTAAAACACTTGAGATGCATTTTAATTCCACACCACCCACAGTGCACGCGCGCGTGTACACACACACACACACAATTTAACTGCTAGAAGAACTGATGGGTGCAGTGGTTGGCCTGAGCCCACATAGTAGTCAGTGTGGAATCAGGAGCTTATATTAAGCTCAATCTAGTGCTCTTTTCTTCGTAGCCTGCAGAGTGTTTATCTGTTTTAGCTCTCCAACTGCTTTGTAAGCTTCTGAAAGCAGATTTGGTCCTTGTATGTCCTCATTAAGCTGCTTGGTCAATGCCTGTTAACCAATGTCGGACTTCATTCCCGTGTTACGGGAGCCTCAAATGTTACACATTCCTTCCATTATCTGGTCATTTTGATTCAGCCTCTTCTGTAGACAGAAAAAAGTTGGGGAACGGTCAAGTGATCTATGGTAGAAAGGAATCTGATTACACTTGACCATCATTGCTTCTAAACATCTCTCCTGAAGTTGAAAATTGTTTTAAGGAATAGTCTCAGGAATTTCAAGTTATTTATCAGTGGTTAAAATTATATCACATGTTTGGTGACCAGGCTGCTATTACATGTTATTCTTTTATCTTAAACAAAACAAAACACTTTGTGTAGTATTTCCAGCAATAGAAAAGGACCTTAGAGCTCATCTTCAAAATGGAAGAGTAAACATTACATTACAAGTCAGCCCCTTAACTGTCAGTTTATTCATTGTGGACTTTTGTGCTGTGGGAGAAGTTGGTCCAGAAATTATTTGCCCTGTTATTAATTTGTAATATTCTAAATACTCACTATAAACGATTACAGTTTGTTTCAGTGTTGGAAGGGGTGTTATCTAAACTGTCAAGATATGATGAAGGCACTTTCTTTTCATCCATTCTGTCATTCACTGTAAGTATTTGAATGAGTTCTCTTCTGCTGTCTTTTGGCTGTTGTCATAGTACTTA